CAAGTGTGTAAAACCTTTTGAAGTCTTCCCTATATTATCGGTTATTGCTGGTGTTAATCGCCCATGATTTTATTAAGAGCGGCTGAATTCTTTACTGCCGTGCCATGAATATTTGCTGTTGACTGTTCTGTGTGACTGAAAAGAATGCCCTGAAAGCACCCGACAGCACATCTCAGATAGAAGCGCCTCGGAGTGGAATTCAGCAGGAGCTGCGGCGCTGTGTTTGCAGTCGGGAGAGACCCCGGGGCCGGTGCAGCCGCTGAGCCCCGCCCAAAGCCGGGCCCCCTTGAGCGCGGCCATCCGGCGGCTGCAGTGGCGCGGCGGCGCCTCCGGGTGTCGCTGTTGGCCGCCGCCGAGCGGCGCTGGAGCCGCCGCCGCCGCCGCCGCAGCGTCCTGCCCCCGCAGGCTGCTCGCTCGCCCGGCGCCGGCCACAGCGGCAGCGGCACCGCCAACAGCAGCAGCAGCAGCGGCGGCGAGAGGCGGAGAGAGGCGGCGCGCCGAGCTCGCTGCGTTTGAGCGGTCTCTGTTGTCGCCGGCGAGAGCGGCTGGAAGGGAGGCAGGGCAGCGGCAGGAGGCAGGAGCGCGGCGAGCGCTGCGGGCAGAGAATGGCGGTGAGGCGGCGGCAGAGGCGCGGGCCGGGCGGCGGGCGAGCGCTGCTGGCCGCGGTGCTGCTGTGCGTGTGGGGCCGGGCGGCGGCCGAGCGGGTCCGCTACGCCATCCCCGAGGAGCTGGGCAGAGGCTCGCTCGTGGGGCCGCTGGCGCGGGACCTGGGGCTCAGCGCGGACGAGCTGCCGGCGCGCAAGCTGCGGCTGAGCGAGGAGAAGCAATACTTCACGGTGAACGAGGAGAACGGGAACCTGTACGTGAATGAGAGGCTGGACCGGGAGGAGATGTGCGGCGAGTCGGCGACCTGCTCGGTCAGCTTCGAGGCGCTGGTGCACAACCCGCTGAACGTCTTCCGCGTGGAGGTGGATATCCAGGACGTGAACGACAACGCGCCGCGCTTTCTTAAGGAAAAGATCCACTTCGAAATTATTGAGTCTACACCTCCTGGCGCCCGATTTTCCGTGGATGTGGCCGAGGACGCAGACGTGGGCAGTAACTCGCTGCAGGGCTATCAGCTAGAGACCAATGGGTTTTTCGCGGTGGAGGTGAAGGAGAACCAGGACGGCAGCAAGTTCGCGGAGCTGGTGCTGCGCCGCGCGCTGGATCGAGAGAGCGAGAATAGTCTGCGTCTGCTGCTGACTGCGCTGGACGGCGGAGACCCGCCCCGGACTGGCACCGCCCAGCTCTGGATCAACGTCACCGACGCTAATGACAACCCACCCGTGTTCGCGCAGGATCGGTACCGCGTCAGCCTGCGTGAGGACACGCCTCCGGGATCAACGGTGCTGAACATCTCTGCCTCCGATGCTGATGCCGGCACCAATGCCCACATCACTTACGGCTTCGGGAAAACGCCGGCCAAGGTGCTTCAGAAGTTCGTGGTAGATGCAGAGAGCGGGACGATCAGTCTGCAGGAGAAGCTGGATTTTGAGGACACGCGAGGCTACATGTTGCTGTTGGAGGCGAGGGACGGTGGAGGTTTGGTGGCGCACTGCAAGGTGGAGGTGGAGGTGCTGGACGTCAATGACAACGCGCCCGAAATCACGATTCTGTCACTGTCAAGCCCGGTGCCCGAAGACTCGCCGGCTGGCACGGTGATAGCCCTGCTAAAAGTGCGGGACAGAGACTCGGGCGAGAACGGTCAGGTGTCGTGCGAGCTGTCGGGAGAGGCGCCGCTGTCGATCGTGGCGTCGTCGGGCGGCTCGTACAAGGTGGTGACGGCGAGCGCGCTGGACCGCGAGCAGGCGTCCGAGCACCGCGTGACGGTGGTGGCCCGGGACCGGGGCAGGCCGGCGCTGTGGAGCAGCACGGAGCTGGTGCTGGAGGTGTCGGACGTGAACGACAACGCGCCGGTGTTCGAGGAGGCGGCGTACAGCGCGTACGTGGCGGAGAACAACGCGGCGGGCGCGCTGGTGCTGCGCGTGCAGGCGCGGGACGCGGACGCGGGCGCCAACGGGCGCGTGAGCTACTGGCTGGCGGGCGGCAGCGCGGGCGCGGCGGGCGCGGCGCCGCTCGTGTCGGTGGAGGCGCGGAGCGGCGCGCTGTACGCGCAGCGCTCCCTGGACTACGAGCAGTGCCGCGAGTTCACGGTGGCCGTGCGGGCGCAGGACGGCGGCTCGCCGGCGCGCAGCTCCACGGCCACGGTGCGCGTCTTCGTGCTGGACCGCAACGACAACGCGCCCCGGGTGCTGTGGCCGGCAGCGGCGGGAGGCGGAGCCGCTGCGGCGCCGGGAGAGGCTCCGGGAGCGGCGGCGACTCCTTTCGAGGTGGTTCCGCGTTCGGCCGAGGCCGGGTACCTGGTGGCCAAGGTGGTGGCGGTGGACGCGGACGCGGGGCGCAACGCGTGGCTGTCCTACGAGCTGGTGCCGGCGTCGGAGCCGGCGCTGTTCCGCGTGGGGCTGCACAGCGGCGAGGTGCGCACGGCGCGCGCCGTGTCCGAGCGGGACGCGGCCAAGCAGCGCGTGGTGGCCGTGGTGAAGGACCACGGGCAGCCGGCGCTCTCGGCCACGGCCACGCTGCACGTGGTGCTGGCCGAGAGCTTGCAGGAGGCGCTGCCGGAGCTGAGCGACAGAGACGCTGTGTCCCACCTGACGTCTGATCTGAACCTCATTCTTGTTGTGTCGCTCTCCGTGGTGTCCTTATTATTTGTTTCCACGGTAATTTTTGTTTTTTTCTTTAAATTTCGACAGTCCAGGAGCCCTCCCATATTTATAACTTCTGATAAGGAACTGTATTCCACCTTGGGTTCAAAAGCACCGTACAACTACTGTAGCAGCACGCTACCCTTGCCCTATTCCTACGACGTGTGTTTAGCTTCCGAGTCGGGGCAGAAGGACTTCACGTTCCTGAGACCAGGGGCGGCAGTCTTGTCTGCTGGTCTCCTGTCCGCTGATCCCGGCTCAGGCACTCGTTCTGAGAAGGACCCTCCTAGCCCTGGGAGCTCGGCACAGCTCGTGAGCTTCTGTCCTATGGTCCCTCTCTGTGAATTTTTGTGAATCTTGTTTTCCTCTGTTCTGCTGTGGGTGATCAGTGGGGAACCGGCAGATCTGAACGTTCCTGCTCACTAGCTCAGGGGCGTGGGGTGTTCTTGAGATCTTGACTCATCCTTCTGACCTGCCAAGTCTTATTCGCAAATTGCTGATTTTCCGCGAGAAGCGACGCAAATGTTGTCAGTACTTCTGTCTGTTCTGGAGAAGGACAGACAGCTGCGAGTTGCACCGATCTGCCGTGGTGAGGTGGACTCGGGGTGGAGCGGGAACGTAAAAGTGTCGTGGAGCCTGAAGCTGAGACAAGCTTTTCGCCTGGGTCTAGTGACCACTAATTGTCTCAACCACATTTGAACGCTTTCATGTGATAATGATGTGTGATCCATCGCGGAGTGTTTACTCAGTCGGGGCTGCTACGCTGGAATTCTCTCCTTTTCTGGCAAGCTCGGTTCTTAAGCGCAGCACCCCTTTGACAGAAGGTGTTGTGTACACCTGTAACTCAACTTTCCCCCTCCTTCTGTAGAGTCGGAGCTGATGCTTCAGTGCAGCTGCAATCCTGGCATCGAGTAGAAGGAGCTTTTTTGTTCCCCGCTGCCACCGGCTTCCCTGTTGGAGTCGGAGAAAATGCCGATGTGAGCGGCGCATGCTGGGATTTGGCTTGAACCTGTCCCTGGAGGAATTCCAATTCCTGGTGCAGGGGAAGGAGTCTTCCCCCTTAGCTGTTGTACTTTTTCACTCCTCTCCCTCAAAGTGGCGCTTTCAGGAGCTCTGAAGCGTCATCTGCAATATTCAGGCTTCCCATCATGGTGGAGGAGATGTAATGTCTGCAGATTAATCGATATACGGTAGATGGAAATGTTCTGTCTTTCACGCCTTTCCTAAAATCTCTCTTCTACTCATCTCTCCGCTGCTTGGCCATCCCACTACTGCTGGGATTAAACGGAGAAGGTACTCTGGTACGGGTGGTGTGTGCACTCATACATAGGGAGGGAAATTACTTGAGAACTGTTGTCCCCACGTTGAGAAATCGCGTGTAGGAAAAACCTAAAATGGGCAGTGATTGGAAAAAGAATTCAGAACTTACAGTGGTTGTAAAAAGGGTTCAGAGTTTATTTCAGAGAAATAAGTCGCTGAAGACTATTTCAAGATTTGGGTCAAAAAGAGCTATGGATTTTCTTGGTTTTAGATTATATGTAAGAAAGAAAGAAAATTGGGATTTGGTTTTCTATGAGAAAAGAAGTGCTTTGGGAACGTTAGATGACTCATATTGGATTTTATTTTTGTGAAACCTTATCACATGTGAACGCTATGTGAACTTTTATCACATTCTGTGGACAGGTGATAAGAATGATAAATAGCGCTAATAAACTTTATCTTTTGGCAACGATTAATCAGGAGAAAAGAAAATAGCTGAGCATGTAGATAGGACAGATTGCGCCGACTCTTTGATATTGCCGACTCTTCATGTAAGCGCAGAACTACTGCGTCTCTGGGTGGATCCCCTGTGCTCACGGCAGCTTTTAGGATTCTGCCGGGCGAGGACAGGCAGAGTCGAGATTCCTCTCGCTCTGGCGAATGTCTCTGTCCAGCGCTGGTGTGGGTGGCTTGCAGCCCCTACGAGCTCAGCCCCCACAATTAGCGGGGTGACAACCCCGCAAGTTTCCGAGCCAGTTCTGCAAGGCTTTGAGAGCCCCCATAAGCGAATGAACGCGTGGGCGCTGATTTCCAGTCCGGTTTTTGCCTTCCTTATCAGTGTCGGTTGTGGGATGACACCTGGGCGCTGTGTCACAGCTGGGTTTTCACAGGGTTCCTGACGCTCCCTTACCAAGCATCTTCGTCCCCTTTTCATTACCCCGTGACAGCCGAGCGGCTCTGCGGGTGACAGACAACGAATGCCGGAATTTCGGTGATTTTATGTGTTCGTAAAAATTCAGAAAAGTCGGAAAACCCGACGTAGCATGAGTTGTTGATGACAGCAACAACAACCCAAAGGCAGGTTTTTGACCAGGCACTGCCGGTGCTGTGACCTGCCAGGCTGTTGGTGCGCGGGAACGGGATCCGTTCTCACTCCGGTGAGCCTGCACCACAGGTCGCAGAGCTTAATTGCCCCGAGTCTGGCTGGTGGAACAAAGTACCGGGGAGCAACGTGGGAGATGGCGAGAGTAGGAGAGCATATTAAACTGAGATTTCTGCGGTTTGTAGGGGAAGACGCCTGCTGGGATGGTGGTGGCAGTGGGGATCCCGCAGGAGAGGGGATGCTTCTGAAAATGCAGCGGCGGGAGCCGCCCCGCGGCGAGACCCTGTGTTGCTGCCGGAGGAGCTGCTCATAACACGGCAGCACGAAATCAATGTCGCTTTGCCGGCCACGCTGCTTTGGTGGCGTACTGAGCAGCGACGTCCAGACGCCTTGAAAGGGGCTTTCTCCCCGTAAGGGGCTGGCCGAGCATTTGGGTGGGAGGACCGGCATCCTGAAGGTCCTGAGAAACACTGGAGCTGGCGCGTCGTGCCGGTCCTGGCTCTCCCTGGCACCCTGCGTACCCCGGAGGACCCTCCCCACTCATCCTCCCGCCCTCTCCACCTCCCTTTCTTACTCCCGCTGCCTCATTCCAGCGAGGTGTTCCCGGGACTCACACATCCCAAACACCCCACGTCTCCGTATCGCCCCTTTTGGCGTCACTCTGCCGACTTTTACAGCCTCTTGTCCGCACACGCAGTCTCTGTGCCCGATCTACCCTGCCTCTGCCAGCGCTCCCCGCGCCTGGCTGTTTCTGTAGCGGGGTTTCTCGCAGGGCTGTCTCTCCCTTCAGGTCCTGCCCGCTGGAGCCCCGCTGCCCTCGGGCCGAGGTCGCCGCGCTCCCTGCGGCGGGGCTCGGCGGCGGCGCGGCTCGGGCGCCCTGCGCTCTGTGCAGTTATTGGCCGGGACTCTGAGTGCCGCTGTCGGCCAATGATGGAGCGGGGGGGAACTGGCGGCCCGGCCCCGCTCGGAGCCGGGATGAGGCGCAGACGGTCTCAGAGAGACTCTGCGAGTGAGTCACCGCCGAGCCCGCCGAGCAATGCCCGGCTCCCCGCCGCCGCCGCCGCTTCCCGGGGCCGCTGGGCAGCGGCATGACGGGGCGAGCTGAGAGTTTCTAGCCGGGGCGGGGGGCGAAGCGGAGAGCGCGGCCGTCCTGTGCGATGAACGGCGTTGCTGTGAGGAGCCGCGGGGTGACGACGGGGCAGGTACTGAGCCTCTTGCTTTTGTTCGGCGTTTCCGACTGGGTTTCCGCCGCGATTCGCTATGCGATCCCCGAGGAGGCGCGGAGAGGCTCCGCGGTGGGGAACGTGGTAGCCGACCTGGCGCTGGACCTCGGGCGGCTGCCGGGGCGCCGATTGCGGGTGGTGTCCGGCGGCAACAAGAAGTACTTCGGGGTGGATCTGACGAGCGGGGCGCTGCTGGTGAACGAGAGGATAGACCGGGAGGAGCTTTGCGGCGCGCTCTCTCCCTGCTCCCTCGGCTTTGAGATCGTGGTGGAAAACCCGCTCGAGCTGTACAGCGGCACCGTAGAGATCCAGGACATCAATGACAACGACCCGGTTTTTCCCAGCGGCCAGGCGAGGCTGGAAATCAGTGAGTCGGTGGCTGCCGGAGCGCGCTTCCCGCTAGAGAGCGCGCAAGATCCCGATGTGGGAATTAACTCTTTGCAGGCCTACCAGCTCAGCGCCAACCCGAACTTTGCGCTCGACGTGCAGACGAGAGTGGATGGCAGCAAGTACGCGGAACTGGTGTTAGAGAAGGAGCTGGACAGGGAGGAGCAAAGGGAGCTGAATTTGGTCTTGACTGCGCTGGATGGAGGCAGCCCGCCACGGTCGGCCCAGGTGCAGATCCACATTGACGTTGTAGATGCCAACGATAATGCCCCGGTCTTCAACCAGTCCACCTACAAGGCAAGTGTGAGGGAGAACACGCCCAGCGGTACCCTGGTCGCCAGGATCAGTGCGTACGACCTGGATGATGGGCCCAATGGAGACATCATCTACTCCTTCAGCAGCCACACCCCCGCCAAGGTACGAGAACTTTTTGCTCTGGACTCAGCCACAGGGGAGTTGAGGGTCAAGGGACAGCTGGACTATGAGGAAACAAAGTTGTATGAGATTTACTTACAGGCTAAAGACAAAGGAGCCGTTCCTGGTGTGGCTCATTGCAAAGTGCTGGTGGAAGTCGTGGATGTGAATGACAATGCTCCAGAGGTGACAGTGACTTCTGTCTACAGCCCTGTGCCTGAAGATGCAGCGCCAGGGACGGTCGTAGCTCTGCTGAGTGTAACAGACTTGGACTCCCATGACAATGGCCTGGTGAACTGTTTTATTTCCCCTGGGATCCCGTTCATGCTCAGCTCCTCCCTCAAAAATTACTACACATTGAAAACAGAAGGAGCTCTGGACCGGGAAAAGGCAGCAGAGTATAACATCACTATCACAGCCAAGGACTCGGGCTCACCACCGTTGTCTGCAGTAAAACACATCCTGGTGCAGGTGTCAGATGTCAATGACAACGCTCCCAGGTCATCCCAGGACTCCTATGATGTCTACGTTCTGGAGAACAACATGCCTGGCATCCCCATCCTTAACGTGAGTGCCACAGATCCGGACCTTGGGCGCAATGCCCACCTCTCCTATACCCTTTTGCAGGGTGACACCACTTTTGGCCACCTCTTCTCCATCAACCGGGAGAATGGCACCCTCTACCTGCTCACCTCCCTGGACCATGAGGACCAGGTGGAGTTCAACATGATGGTGCAGATCCAGGATGGCGGCTTTCCGCCTCTGGCCACTAATGTCTCAGTCAGTGTGTTTGTCACTGACCTCAATGACAATGCCCCAACGGTGCTGTACCCTCACCCCAACACCACCGCCACCTACACCGATGTGGTGGCACCAGGCACTCCTGCTGGCCACATGGTCACCAAGGTGGTGGCGGTGGA